GGCGGCTTTCAGAAGGGCTTCCTGAGGAGATAATGTGGAAGTGATGGAAGAATGGGAACATGATGAGTGACTGAGGAGAGAAGGAATAGAATGTCAACTAAACCCCATTTCGTCCGATTTTCTCCATCTCTGTCGCCCTCTGTGAAGAAATTATTTTTTTTCTCAGTCAGTGGAGATAACTTGTACAGCAAAAGCACGTTCTCCACCCATCCGACTACTTAAACCAGAAACTGGGGCTCCATCGTTAATTGCACCCCACCAATTGTCCAGTCATGACCAGAGTTTCTATCTATGTCGCTTGCATGCTCAGGGTGGGGGTGCCCTTCTCAGCCTCAGCTGAGCATTGGGAGAGAATGACACTGCTCTCCCTACAGGTGTGGGACAGGCGGCATCATTTCTTCCTCCCTGTCCTGGGGGAGCCCTGTGACAGGCCATGCTTGGCAGTGCTTCTGGGGTTATCTTCTCTGCACAAGATGGGGTGCATATGGCTCAGAGGTGGAGGCTTCTCCGCCTTAGAAGAATCCCATGCCTCAAAGGAGCCAACATCTCTCCTCATGATTCCTCAAGCATAACTTCTGGAAAGCCCTCAAAGGACAGGCCTTGGCAGAGCCACAGGCTCCTGGAAGCCAAAAGGATGACATTCTCATTAGACATTTATAGTCAATTCATAATCCTTCCCATTTGAGTTGAAATTTAGCAATCACAGGTCACCGTCACCACCTGCAATGTTGCCTAGAAACACTGGATTAAACTATCTTCCTGTTTCCAGGGAACTGGAGCTGGTCACAGAGGGTCTGCGCCTCTTCCAGCAAGGTAAAGGGCTTGTGAGCCTGCTGTCCGTCTTATTTCTACACTTTCTCCAAACATCCAAGTTTCCCCAAGCGTCTGCCTAGCTGAGCCACCCTCATCTTTCACCAGGACTCACCTCCTAGCATCCAAATTCACACACCAAATCCACAAGCACCCCCACCCCAATCCACACTTCACTCCCCCACCCCAATCCACACTTCACTCGGCAGCCCAGGTGGGTTTTAAGTAGTGACCCACCTTGCTAATCCCCTCCTCTGGCTTCCTGCCACCCCTGGAGAGAAGCTCCAAGTCATCAACATGCCCGGCCAAACATGTCACTCCGCTCCTCCCTTTGCTTCCTAATCTCCAAATACGCAGGTTTCTCTCTGGTTCTCAAATGTTCCTCGAATACGCCACTCTCCCTTCTCCCGTCTGCCTCAGCACACACTGTTCTTCCGGACTTTGGTGTCACAGCCACTCCTCCTACTCCCACCTAAATTTTAAGCCACGTCACTACCAAGAGAGCTTGCTGGGATGCGGCGCTGGGTGACACCTGGGGAGCACAGGCCCCGTGTCACCCAGCCGCTGCCCAGGCAGGAAGGCCCTGTGAAGCCTGCCCTGCCCGCCAGTCTGCGCCCGACTCCCCGCTAGGGATGGTCCCACAGGCTTCTCCCTTCATGCCAGCACCTCGCGGCCACCCTGTGTGACAGGGGTCTGCCCTCCCAGCCTGAACATCAGCTTCCCCAGCTCACCGCCGAGTCGACAGCTCTGGCAGAGGGCCGTGCTCCAGAGACATACATGAAGAAGCAAGTGATCAGGTTAGCGTGCCCCATGCCGAGGATTGTCCAGAGGGGACGCAATTCATCTTTGAAGCCTTAGAGGCCTGGGGGACAGAAGCTGGGAAGTCATCTCAAGAGACACCGACCGAAAGGGGGCAGTGAGGGAGCCTGAGGTTACCCCAGGGCAAGCCAGAGCCAGTGGAAAAGACATCCAAAAGCCTCTCAAGGGAAATTCTAAGAAACTGGTAAATTCTGGGAGATGAGCAAATGAAAGAAATTCAGTGGTTGCAAAAGACAGAAGAGAAGATGTGGGTGGGAAAGGTGTCCTGAGGCCCAGGGAGGAGACTCTGGGTTGGGGGGCTTTCAGAGCAGGCGATCACAATGTCGTGTTAAAACGAGGTCATGTGGAACTGAAACTAAAGATTCCCAGGCTGTGGGCAGCAGGGATTATTGATGACCTCAGGGGGATTCAGCTTTGTGGAACAGCTGGAGCTCGAGTCCACTTTCTGTGGGCTTCAGCCTGAACCAAGAGGAATGCAAGTTTGCAAGGGCTGGGGGTGGGGGTCGGGGGGTGGCGTGTCACAGCCCCACAGGCAGCAAAGATATTCCCGGCCTGTGTGTGTTCAAGGGGCGGTGCCGGCTCCACATGAACTAGGTCTGCAAGGCAGATCTGCTGATTTGCTTATTCCGTGCTAGGAGTGGACACGCCCCTGCAGGGGAGATGAAGCTGACCAGGCTCTCACAGCCTGGGCCTCTGTGGCTCTCACCTGGGCCTGGATCTTGTTAATGTAGAAGGCGCGTGGGTGTGGGGCTTGCATGCCTGATTATGGACGCCCGAGCGTGGGTGTGCACGCGTGTGTAAGGGGGCACACCTGAGCCTCAGAGGGAGGTGATAAAAGGGCGGCGTCACCCTGGGGAAGGGTCTCAGGGTGCTGCCTCCCTGCTGTCCGGGTCCCCCCGCCTACCACTAAAACCTGCAAGATGACGCTGAAAGTTCTTTCAAGTCGCTGGAACTGATGCTGAAGCTACCTGGCCTGGTAGGTTGAAAAAAAAACTACATAATATTTATTATTTAAGTAGATAAGGATATGCGATAGGATATACAGCACCTTAGGAAAATGTCGTTATGATAATGAATATTTTTAAGCAATTTTAGATTGGCTGAGAAACACAGACGCTCTGGCAGTGCCTTTGAGGCTGGAGGGAGCTTTGGGGACAGTGTCTCCCTGATTGTGCACCTCCCTGCTTGGGAAAACCCACGGGAAGCTCCCCAAGGGGGTCAGGCTGCCAGTATGAGGCGAGGCGCTGAAAATGCTTTTGGATTGTATGGTTGGTCACTCCAGCTTGGTAGCTCAGGGGAAGTCTGGGGAGAAAAGCTGCTTCATGCAGAAGGAACAGAAGGAGGAATCATTTGTGCCACCCAGGATGGGGCTGGGGCAGGCCCGGCACTAAATGGGTGTTCCAATTAAATAGATTCAGGGCACGATTATCGATGCCACAGAGCTTATACTGTGCCCGGCATGAAGGCACCTGCGGTGCGGTGTCTGTCACGCTCTGTAAATGCACACGACAGTGGTGATCTGGTCCAGTGGATGCATATGGGGCACTTCTGTGCCAGCTCCTGTCCTAGCTCACCTAGTCCCACAGGTGATCATGAAACCATTATGGATCATGGATACCATTATGATCATCACTTCACGGGTGAGAAGTGGGGGTGATTACACTGCCTCAGTCAGGTGGAAGGCTGGAATCAAGAGAATCTCATGTCTGTAGTTGTAACTGCTACACTGTATTACCAGGAGTATCTCTAACTATTAAGCTACATATGTATACATGTTTATATATTCACAAATGTGCCTGAAAACGAATTTCTAATGCGAGCGGTTATGGGGTAACCAGGCTACCCCAGGAGGACAGGTTTCCTGTCTGTGGCTATTGTAGGAGGAGGGGATGAACAAAGCAATGGGTCTATAGACAAAGGACTTCTATAATATCAACCATTATATCTAAATGACCAAGCAGAAGCCCAGGAGACTCTGCACAGCAGAGATGCGTGTGTGGTGCCTTCGAGGCTCCAGGCCTGTTGTGACGATACAGCAAGTTAACATGTGCAATGTAGTTCACACAAAAGGACAATGAATGTCTTAGATATTTCTGGTAATGGTAGCAGAGAAGGGAGACTCTAAACTAAAATAATGCTGGGAGAAAGTCAAAACAGCTTGATATCACTGTGGGGAAAACTGGTGGAGAGAAAATCTGTGAACTCAATGTCACAGTCCAAACCCTGTGTCTGCCACTTTTTAGTTAGGAGACATTAACACCTCCAACCTCACTCACTTTTCCATTTGTGAAGTGAAGAAGGTAAGAACAATCTTTTAGGTGATGGCTAGGGGCGGGGTGAGCGAGGAAAATCACCAGCACAGCAGTTATTAGCAAGGACCTTTTCCCTTGGCTCACACAGATAGGAAAGAAGAAAATGTTTTTGGCCAAATCACAAGTGTTTTATCGTTGATTTGAGATGGAAAAGATGGTAGATAAAGAGATAGATGATGGATGGATGGATGGATGGGATAGAAGAAGGAAGGTCGGCTAGATGATGGTTAGATGGAAGGATAGATGGATGGATGGAGAGATAGATATGGATGTTATACAGACAATAAAGACAGATAATGTCCCGGAATTTCATAAGTTGTACTTGCATTAGGGATTTTCCCCAATAACAATGACCAATCACATTGTGATAATGATCTTGAAGAGATTAATATTCTTTTAGTGTGATTCCATGTCTAACTCACCTCTATTAGACTGAAACCTGGAGGAGGATGTAATCAGATGAATCATTTCTACAATGTGAGCTTTTGCAAGACTGAAATACAAAAATAATGCTGACCACTCCCGCCCCTGGTGAAACCCAGGCAGACAGCGTTCGCCTGCTTCTTCTGGAACCGTCCTTGTGCTCTGCTGCCTTTGTTGAGTTACTTGTAATTCCTCCTTCCCTCAACCCACTCATTACTTCCAGAAAGTTCTTGTTTGGTTCTCGGAGACATCATGGCCACTGTGATGTGATTTTGTAATTAAACTTAGAGGGTAATCTTAATATATATTTTTTCTAGTTTGTAGATGATACTTCCTCTCCCATCAGGTTTTATGAGCAGAGTAATGAAAATCATTGTAAACTACTTAGTTGTGACAAAACCCTTCACTACCATCATTGAACTTGGGTTCATCCTAATCTTTTATCAATAGCACTTTCCCAGCTCCTAAATCAAGAGCTGAAGAAAATGCAGGTCATTACCAACCTAACTGCATATTGCTTTTAGATCGAGTGGTATATTGCTTTTTGTTTATCTTCTTTTAAACATTTTTGTAAAGGACAAGTAGAGTAAGAAAGGCAGGAGAGGCAAGAGGCTGGCAGGTGGCAGAATGGCTCACCTCCGCAGACCACACCCTCGAGGTCCTCACAACGCCGGTCGTCACACTCGCAGGTCCTGCCGTACACCCTGCGGTCCCCTGGGGGGTAGCAGGTGCATCTGCCACATTCACATTTACCTGCAAAATAGGAAGAGAAGGCAGGCTCATCAGCATCACAGAATTAGTCAGGCTTCCAAGGAACAAGCATTCTGTGAGCCCCAAATCTCCAGTGCCAGTTCTAGGCCATGCTAGAAAAGAGTTCAGCAAAAAATTTTTCTGACCTCCTGAAAGTCATCTGAAGGTCAAGTGCAAATACCCAGGAAGTAGAGACTTCAAGTGACAGTTGTAGGTCAGAAGTCACTCGCTTTACTATGTTCCATTCATCTTTAAAGAATAATTCAGCTATTAAACTCACTGGGTATTTTGCATTTCATTTAGTTTGAGGATACCACTCAACTGAATCACTTTGCTGTGTTTTGACATTTTAGCATACATGGTCATTTTAAAAATTATATTTATTTTGAGTCTATACACCCTCTAAGAGAAAAAAATGTTCATAGGTATATTTCAGTGTGATGTTTTTGTGATAATATGGTGTCAATTTTATAATGTATAGAACTCATTAACCCATAATATGTGTCAAATCTCAAGACTTAATATCTTTATTATTCTTAAGAAAAAGATTTTTGGTGAAAGTCTAGTTCAGAATTACTTAACTGTTATCATCATGAAGACTTTCATCATTATTTCTTGAGCTATGACTGTGAGTCAAACACTGTAATTCCTTGAAGTATATCATTTTATTTTCATTATACCACACACTGACTAGTATTACGATCATCTTACTAAACAGGAGATGGGGGTATATTGAGGTCAAGTCACTTTATATGATGAATCAACTGGTAAAGGACAGATTTCAAAATTCACATCAATTCTCATTCCTCTTAGACCTGTGCATTTCACCATTGAGCCATACTGCGTTTTAATATACTCAAAATGCAGCACCAAGAGGCTTTATGAGAAAGTAAATTCCTCTTGCCTGGTTTGCAGAAATTCAGCTGGGTGCCTATTCTGAGACATCTGTTACTCTCTGTCATTAGCCCACCCATTAGAACCGCCCTCCCACTGAAATGCTTGTGAGAGGCTCTAGGGCTGACCCTGCAAATGCTGTTAGTCATTCTGTTGCTGCATTTGTATCTTGTTAAGCAATTCTGAGTTGGTAGATGATGGAAGGAAGGAAGATTAGTATGTAGAATCATATAATTTCAGAGCTGTAATTAAAGATTATCTAATGCAGTGATTCATGAACTTTGCTGGCAGAGTGGAAGGGTCACAATCTATTGAGAATCTGATGGAAGATATGGTAATAGAGAGTGTTCTTCAGGGGGCCCATCTCTCTTTTTGTTTGGAGGCAACCCCAAGCTCAGCAGGAGGCAGAGGTACACCTTCCCCAATGATATTTGCTCTTCCAAAGCCCCAGTGGCCAGAAATGGGACACACCAGATACTCTTGGCTAAATCTTTGATTCTCAAGAGTAAAGGCAAACAGCAGCAAATGTCCAGAAGTGGTAGAGCTTGGCACGTGTGTGAAAGCAGTGGTGGAGGGGCCTGGTTCTTGGCACTACCGTGCTTCCTGGGGGTGCCACAGGAGCTGATGGTTCAAGCTTGTATTCTGAGTCTAAACCCTTCCAATAAAATCCTATTTCATCCCAGTTAATGAAGTTGGTTTCTGTTGCTTGCAATCAAGAACTCTAAAGGATAGACCCCAGATCTCTCCCTGGAGAAATCTACCAGCACACATTTATTTTTTGTGAAATGTTAGGAGGATCTATGTCTTTCTACAATTTACTTAACGGGAAACTCAAGCATAAGGATGCTCAATGATTTGCTGAGTTCAGTTAACTAGATGTTTGCCATGTTGCTGTTACAGAGCAGACTTTCCTGAGCCTGGTTACCTCCTGGTGTCTATAAACATGTTAGGCCTCTTCATAGCTGGATGTGTGGATGACAATTTCAAGATACTGGTGAGAAAGAGACAAACAATAGGCCCATGAGCAGGATGACAAGATAGCATCAGATGTGAGATGTAAGAGATCAATCAAGTTATTCCAGAGGGTATGCTGTTCCAGTTACATAGAAGCATTAATTCTTAAACTTGAGGGCATATGTACTTGTGATGACAATTTTATTAACATTTTGTCACTGGTATTTTCCTGAATTGCTGATATCTGTGCTTCTTTGGGGAAAGCAATACCTGAAACCTGGCATATGTACTCAAATACCTACATTTCAATGTTCTCATTATGGATAGTTTCTATCTTCTGTTTCATCCACAAAGTGTTTAATATTAGGAAAGTGTTAATATTTAATCCCCAGTACATTTTCCCCTGATATAATTCATGAACTTTTTCAAGTATCAGGGAATAATTAATAATTTTGCAAGCTTTTTGTCTTTTGGCTATGTACCTATTGGAGATTTTGAAAGATACAGGCAATTATTAGCTCAATTAACTATATGAACGTAACTATTATAGTTCACAAGATATTGTAGCTCTTGATGGAAAGGTAAAAAAAAAAATTACCTCAAGAAAGGCTAATTTATTGCAGATAAAGCACATTATTTTGCTTTCTCAATTCACAATTTGGGTTTAGTCCCTAACAAGATGTATACCTGCCAGGTAAATTTCCACTGTTCCTTCAAGATCCAAGGAAATTGCACCAAATCTGTGATGCTTATGTCCTTCTACTCTTAACACCTTCGCAGCTACAACAGAGGTAACTTCACAATGTTTGAATCGGTATATAATGAATGAATGCATCCAATAATAACCACGTGTACATAGCTTAGCAATATTCATACAACATACAAGCTTTTCAATGGTAGAGCTTGAATTTAGAATAGGAAATTTCTCCAGTAATACATACGCATTTTCAATTGCCTGACCACCTTAATCTGGGTTTCCCACATAAAATCAGCAAAGCGTAGCCCACACCAAATCCACCATCTTTACTCACAAGCCTTCTCCTCCTCCTTGGTCCTTTGGTGGAGAAGAAGGTGACCATCATTTTGTCTGTCTTCAAATCTTTAAAAAACCTGATGATGTATTTGATTTCTTTTTCCTTTTAATTATTGTTTTTCCTTTCAATTTGAAATTTCATAAAACCCACATTCTTAAGACGTACCTCTGATTCTCAATTGACCGTCAAGGCAGAAATCGACAGGGTTTTCCACAATTGGTCCAACTCACCTTTTCCTACATATATTCAGTGTCCACAGTACACTCATGTTCAGACACTTTCCTTATGTCCTGATTTCTCCCCTCTGTTGTGTCTACCACCACTTTCTCCATAAAGTCCTCCCCAGTGTTCAATAGCCAGCTCAAATCTAATCACTATGCATCTTTCCTTATCATCCCTGTTCAATTACCTGTTAGAATTGCTCTCTGCTCCCTTATACCTTGTTACTCACTAGTAGATCAGTTAATGCAAATTTTATACTTCAACCCTACCATGAATAGTGAGCTCCCTGTGGTATAGGTGGATGTTGGATTTGTATCCTGTTAGCACCCAGCAAAGCTCTCCATTGATGTAAACACTGACACACAGTCAGGAAACACTGACATACAGATTTATTATTGTCATCTTTTTTTAAAATAAGAAATTGAGTCCAATCCCTTTCCTTTATTTACTAAATGTTATGAGGATGTTCTAATGTTGTGGAGCTGTAACTATGGCTTCTGAAATGATGATGAAATTAATATTCTCTTAAAGAAAAATAAAAGATAATCGAAGTTTGCTTGTCTAGCACAAATAAGTGCTATTTTATATAACAGATTGAGAGGAAAATCTAAAGAAAGACATACTCAAGGAAATACAAATAAACCAAGTATTTTTTAAAAAACAATTCAGGAACAGACGCAAAGGATAGAAATAACTGTCAGAGCAGAAATTAATTCAATCAACATCATCCAACTGAAACTTTTCTGAAATATACTCTACGCTGAGTCTCCCACTCCTATTAAATTTTTAATAAAGCAGAAATCTTTAAGCAGATACAAAATGTCAGTCCAATGTTGTCATTTTGAAAGGGAACATAACCTCTAAGAATTGTATATTAAGGCTTATTATACATATTAGCAATGAAGAGTAATGAACAAAGGCTGGTATCTAGAAGTACTGATCAAAATAGATTTTACTTAAATACTTTAAATGTCACACGTCTATAAAATACACCGGTGTGACATTGCAAAGGGCAGTTTGTAGTTCTGTGTGTAACTACTCATTTTAATAAATAAAATGCCTCATTTAATTTAAATCTCTAACTTAAATTTAATCATGATCATTACCATAGTTAAACACCAACTTTCAGAGATGTGTGTTTGCCTTAGAGTACATTTTTTTTCCAAAAGTACTAGATTAAAATACAAAAACGCTAGTTCAAAGGGATGTATGTACTCCTATGTTCATTGCAGACCTATTTATAAAAGTCAAATTATGGAAGCAGTGTAAGTGTCCAGGGACAGAGGATTGGATCAGAAAGATGCAGTGTGTACACACAATGGAATACTACCCAGCTGTAGAAAAGGATTTTCTCCTGCCATTTGCAACAACATGGATGGAACTGGAAAGGATAATGCTAAGCAAAATAAGTCAGAAGGAGAAAGGCAAACACAGTATGTTCTCACTTATATGTAGAATATAGAGAAACATAACAAAGAACCAGTCAAGACCAGACCAATAATTAACTCTTAACATCTGACTGCAAAACTGAGGCAACCAGAAGGGGAGAATGGTGGGGTGGGAGTGGATGGAGTGAAGGGGCCCAATGGAACATGGTGGAGGGTTGTTGGGCCTGGCGATGGGCAGGGTGTGAAAGTATATATTTTTAGAGGTTTGAAGATATAACTCAGGAGGGAGCAGCACATAGATGTAAAACTGCTTTATCTCAATAAGCAGAATTTGGGAAAACAAATTTCAAACATTGACACACTCCAAAATATTATTGTTTATCTGAAATTTAACAAATATTTATTAAGAATCTGTTTCATATGAAGCACTTGATTAGATGTGGGAGTATAACACCAAACAGAAGGTATACAAGTCTTTAATTTCTGCTGTTCTTCATAGTTTAGTTTATTT